CTCGAATAGTTCTTTTTCTTCTTCTTCTTCTTATTCCGTTATTTATACGGGAAGAAGACATATTCGAATAATTGTAACAAACACAAATGGGAGAAAATATCTCTCGCGACGACAAAAACAATTTATTATTATTCTCCACTCGCGAATAATAATATTTAGCCGCGTTGCTGCGATTCGAGCGTTGTTGCTCGTTGGGCTTCGAGAAAAGTGTGTCACCGAACCGCCTCGCCTCTCTCACTTTCTTCCGATTCACTCTTCTCGCTAAAAACAATCGACGCCGATATTTTAATAATTTTCCCACTCCACGCACTTGAAAATTAATCCCTCTCTCCGAATTTAATTAAAAAAAGAAGAAAAGAAAAGAAAAACGCTCGCAAATTTAATTTCGCGAGGAGAGGAGGGAAAATCGATCGAATTGAAATCATCGATCGGAAGAAAGAAGAAGAAAAACAGAGATCGAAACTCTGCGTGATCCAACGATCGAGAAGGGCCGTTGTCGAGTTAACCCGCGGGATTTTTGCATAAAAAAAAAATAAATAAATAAAATAAAACCTGCCCGTGTATCCGCGAATGTAAAGGATAAGCGGCTATAAAGGATAAGCAGCCCAAGACATCCGGTATCGTTCCATTGTTGTCGAACGAAGCCTTGATTTTGGCGGGACCTTCGTCGAGCGTCTGGCCGGTTCCCGATATCCGTCCAACGGATCGGATCGATCCGTCTCACCTCTCGCGCTCTCGTGCCTCGCCGATTCGCTTTTCGCGGACGCGCCGCGATCTTGAAATTCCGCGAGCCCAAGGCGCTTCGCTCGCTCGCTCGCTCGCTCGCTCGCGTGGGATCGAGATCGGGATCGAGATCGCAAGAGCGAGAAAACACGGCCGCAGGATTCCTTTTTTTTTTTCTTTTTCTTAATCCGAACCGGCCACGTGGATCGATTATCTCGATATTTCTCCCCTTGCGTCATTTTTCTTTCTTTTTTTTGCAATCGTCTCGAAAGTTTCGAAGTAGATCCGTCTTCGATCTACTTTGAATTATCTTAAGAATTATTAAATTTGTTTTATATATATATATATGTACAATCGAAGTAAAAAAATTTCGAAGGAATAAGAATTTACTCGTCGCGTGACTCGAGGTATTTTAATAGATAGCTGCCTTAGCGATCTTATTTCGCGTGCAACCAAAATGGGGGCCATCCCATCCCAGCCTCGCCTCGTTTCGTATCCTTTCGTAAAAATATCCCCAATTCAATTCAAACGAGGGAATATATCCCCATATTTCTTCTCCCTAAAACTCTCCAATCAACTTTGTACATATTGCAAATATATCTCTGAAAGTCGATCCATCAGAGAAAAAGGAAAGGAGGAAGAAAAAAGGAAAATCAGTGTCCCTTCGTTCGCGTACGCGTTGTCGAAGGAGAGGTGTGGGGCGGCGCGTGGTTCGATCGAAAGCGAAATGAAAAATTGGCGCGGGGGTGGAAAGCGGGGGCCAAGCGAAAAAAGGAGCTTTGGCCGGGTGGAGGAGAGCCGAGGAGAGCTTTCCCGTTATGCGCCTCCTCTCTAAGCCGATTTCGAGCTGGCGGGCAGAGAGGCCGGTACCGCTAGCTTCCCAGAAATCGACGCTCGATAATGCCTCTCGATACGGATGAAGCAATCTCCTACTGTCGCGCACCGCCGCGAGGGGGGAAAAAAAGGCTGGTGGAAAGGGGTGGGGGGGCCGAGTGGCAGGGCCAGGATGGGGGAAGTCGCACATATAGCCGACACACCACTAGCTCATGTTTTATTCATCGATTCGAAACAAATTCGAAGCGTGTACTCTTCGTCGCGTGCTTCCTCTTCGTCACAGATAACGTGGTCGTCCTTCTCTTATCCGAGCTTTCAGGGCTATACCTTCCCGTTCAGGGATGTATGGAAGACACATTCGTGAACACGTCGTGAAATCTCTCTTCTCTTCACTAATTTTATTTGTCTTTTTTTTGTCTTTTTTCTCTTTTTCCTTTTCGTTCATCTTTTAGTTTAATATTTTTCAAATAGAGGGAATTTTTATTTACATGTCGCGTCGTATTACGAAATTTTTGTGTTCGTTTTTATTGTTTTGAAATAGGATTTTACAGGATTGGGTTATAATAGTAATTCTACTCGAGTTTTGGTTTCGAAGGGATAAAGTTCGAAGGAGAGCATCGAAGTGAAATATAAGATGTCTCGTCAGCCAATCTTCCGTTTCGATAACTTCCGTGCTCTTGATTATTTGTATATGTAATATTTTAAGGCACGAATCGGAGTCTTCGTTTCTTTTTTAATGGTAACGAATCGAATATTTGTCGTTTTTGACTATTCTTTCTTTTTTTTTTCTTTTCTTTTTCTGATCCCATTAACGAAATCTACGTCATACGGTTTCATAAGTTTGCGAAAGTTATTTGACAATTCAAAACGTTTCGAAGAAAGTTCCCGAGCGGTAAAGTGGATCAGATCCAACGTAAAAAATAATTGCGTCTGACTTAAATTCGATTCTACTGAATTGACCTACTACGTTCAGTGTTGACGTATTGGTCAAGTATTTTTGCGAATTTCTTCTAAAGGACGACAGAAGATCAAGAGATTATTAAAAATCTTCAATCTATCCCAGATATAGTTTTTATTCGGAAAAGATATTTCTTTCGTTTATTAGGAGTGACAATAATCTATCGATCATTCATTTTTCTTTATTTTTTTCATTTCCAATTTTGTGGTGTCAGAAATAATCGAAACACCACGACGAAACACGATTTTGTTGGAATAAACAAATTTATTATTTTATCAAAATTAACTATCGATGAACAATTAAACGTTTCCTTCGAATTATTTTCTCGAAATTATTTGCAACAGGGAAAACGTGACGATTTTATTTTTCAACAGAGCAAAAAGAATCTTTTTCTTCTTTTTCTTCCTCGATCGAATCGAGGAACATCGTTCGTCCGATCCCGTCGCAAAATTGCGCAACTTTCATTCAATGTCCCGTAAAAATAATTTCAGATTCGTGAACCGATCGATTTTCTTGGATCGGAGATAACGAAAAATGTCGATGACGAAATTTGCAGACGTAAACAACATACGATGTTTTGCATTGGAATGGAACGAAAGCAAAATTTTTCGTTCCGTGGGATCATCGATTTACGATAAAAATCATCGACGAACACGAATCTTCTCTCATCGATCGCGTTCTTCCTCCTCTTTAAACCGTCCGTCCCAATGAACAGGGAAACAGGAAGATCGAAACACTGCACTGGCAACATGGTCTCCGACCATCGGGTACATCCGATTCTACAAAAACCGTAAAAATCGTGATCGTTCCCCAAACAAATCCGAATCGGGAATCATGGTCGATAGAAAATGGACGGTGGAAACGAAACGAGAAGAGACGGTAGAACGAAACGAGAAGAGACGAGAAGTCGTTCGACAACCCTCGAATGCAGCACCCTTGAATGGCCCCCCTCCCCTTCCCCCTCGATATCGGATAACGTCCGATAACGAGAGAGACGCGTGGAAGAAATGGAAAAACGAAGGAAGTTTCGGGCGAGGACGTCGAGGATGATCGGGCGTGTGGGATGGAAGAAGAGACGGGCCTGGGGGGGGGGGCGTGGGGGGAGGCATGGGCGAAGCACGGGCAGAGGTGCCGAATCGACAAACGTCAGGTACATCGAAATAAGAACGGAATAAAGCGGTGGTCTGGCGTGGATGGGAGCGTAGCCGGTCTCACGAGGTGCTCGTTGGACTGGAGGCGCACCACCTTGCTGCCAGAAAACCCGATGGCACCTTAAGAAGAGAAGTCAAGGGCAAGAAGCGTCCCTTCGTTGCCCGGTCTGGCCCAGCTTGGGCCCTACTTGGACCCCACTCCGCGACACGTCGTGCCCCCACCCCCTCCCCGCACCTCCCCTCTGTGTATCCTCTGTGTAGAGGATCCCCTGCTCTCTCCAGCCCCTTCACCTCCTTCTGGATCTCCCTCCCTTCCCCTCCCATACCTTCTATCATCCTTCCGTTCCGCTCCCTCCACCTTTCCAGCCCTTCTTCTTCGGGCTCTCCCGTTCCACACACGAACGCCTCCAAGAGTTGGAGAGTTGGCTCTCTCGGTGCTTTCTTGAAATTCGTCTCTCTACCAGCAGTAGCAGCACCAGCAGCACCAGCAACACACCGGGTTGTGTTATATACACTTACGACAGAGTACGACAGAGAGACCAACCTCTCCTCCCCCTTTCGTCTCAACACGAATCCATATGTATGGGGTGTGTGGCGACGCAAATGTGCTGACTACATTACGCCGCTATATAAGATAGCCGACCAACCATCCTATCCCCACAGACCGAGCCAGATCGGCAGACCGTTCACAGACGGACCAACGAACCGATCTACCGATACAGACACACGGGCACGCATCATTTTTTTTTTTTTTTTTCGTTTATCGGGACCGGCCACGGATCGATCGCGAATCCACCGATAATCCATCAATAATCTCGTTCCACTCGTCGATCGTGATCGTTCGTGATCGTTCGTGATCATCACGATCGCGAATCAATCAACGGGGTGACATTCTTTTTTTTTTTTTTTTTTTTTCTTCTTTCTTTCTTTTTCCTCCACTTCTACCACCGTACCCGTTTTTTTACCACCAACTTTCCTCTCTATCTCTCGTCGCTCGTCAACCGATCGACCGAGGCCAAACGCACGGCTGCGATTCCGACAACGAGCAACAATTCTTTCCGCAAATTTTTTCCGCAAATTGGCACGTGGTGAAACGAGAAACCGAGATCCGAAATCGAAACAGCTTTTCGTACGTCGGCACCGTCGTCGATTTTCGGTCACAGGGAATAGAATAGCCTTCTCGCGATCCAGGTACCCTAGGTCCGGTACCTACCGCGAAAAGGAAAAGAGAAAGAGAAAAGAAAGAGACGCCACCAATCCCATCTTTGTGAGAAATCGTAAAGTGAGTGCATCGACGAAGGGGTGCGTCGAGAGGAGCGTGGAAAGCATCGAAGATGATCCCTTTGACAGCCACCACGTGCTTCCTAATCGCTATCACGTTCCTGGCACTCGCCCTCATCCTGTTGGATCACCTAAGGTCCAAGAAGACGACGAAGAACGTCGTGTTGGGTGACGACCAACACGCCCTACCGGAACCACCTGGACCCAAACCGTGGCCGATACTTGGCTCCCTTCATATCCTGGGACGCTACGACGTACCCTACAAAGCTTTCGCTGACCTTGTTAGGGACTTCGACTGCCAGGTGATCAAGCTCAGGATGGGATCCGTGCCCTGCGTGGTCGTCAATGGGCTGGAGAACATCAGAGAAGTGCTCACCGTCAAGGGACACCATTTCGATTCCAGGCCCAACTTTACCAGATATCATCTGCTCTTCGGTGGAAACAAGGAGAACTGTAAGAAAAATTTCTCTCTTTTAATTTAATTCTTTTGGTTTTTCGTCGCGAGAAAAATGACAAAAGTTTTCCAAAGTTTTAAAAATAATTTCGAACGAAGGAACGGTCGAAAAAGCGACGCGAAGGATTTTCCATCGGTTCGAATCGAAACGAAAAAAAGAAAAAAAAAAAAAAAGTAATAATAATAAAAATAATAATAATAAAAAATAAAAATAAAAAATAATCTTCCATCGCTCGGAATTAATCGGACATCTCCTCTCGTCCCTACCTACTCGACGACTCGTTCACCATGCAAATTGCCTCGTTCGATACTTCGATACTTTTAATTATTATTCAAAAACTCTCGACGTGTCCAACGATTACGTAATTCTCGCCGTGACGAAGAAAAAAAAAAAAAAGGAAAAGAAAGAAAGAAAAAAAATCTCCTCACGAAATCTTCTCTAAACATATATATTTCGAATTATTATCCTCTAATAGATAGGAACCAGAGGAGAGATTATCTAGCCGTTTTTAACGTTCCGAAAGGAAGGAGAAGGGAGGGGAGGAGGGAGGAGGGGGAAAAAAAAAAAAAAAAAAAGAATTTCGATGCGCGTGAGTCAGTGTGAAAATTGAATTCGTCGACACCTTCGTCGTCACGGCTGCTGAAAACTCGTTCCCCATGCTAACGACCTTGCCATCGTACGCGACACGTGAGCCGGCCGGCCCATACAATCGCAGCCCGTTTATTTTTTCGCGTGGCTCGTGCTTTCGTTGCGATCCACGGAACGCCGAAACTCGTGCTAAGGTCAACGCCGAAGCGGTACCAAGTGCAAGCCGGAAAGGTCACGGTACCACTTTCACGCGTTCCTTGCTCACCTGGCAGCCGGCAAACAGGATCAAGGCTGATCCACCGGAGGCGATTCCGATACCACCGAGTAAGCACCATTTTCCTTCTCTCTCTCTCTCTCTCTCTCTCTCTCTCTCTCTCTCTCTCTTTCGCTCTCCCTTCGCTCCTCCCGTACATTCTCACCGCGCACATTTTGCGCACAACATTCTCGGCGAGAGAATCGGGAACGTTTTTCGATCGGCTCGTGGAAAAATTGGAGGAAGAGAGAGATATCGGCGTAACCTAGCTTTTTCAGAGGAAAATCCTATACGTGTTTATAATTCGTTGTGATAATTCTTTCTTTTCCTTTTTTTTTTTTTTTTTTTTTTTTTTTTTTTTTTTTTTTTTTCTGTATTATATACACATGTTAAATGTTGCGAACGTTAACGGATCTCAAAACAATTGCGGTAAAACGGTGTAGAGAGAAGGGAACGGTGTATGAAAGATTTTTAAATATTGGAAAATTGAAATACGACGAAACAAGGATTGACAGTTGATCGTAAAATCTGAAAATCCTGGATTCCTTGTGCTCGAGGAGGCGAGTCGAGCGGCATGTCCTACCACGAGAAACCAGGTCACTTCCTGTTCTGGTCTGCCCCGCGACCGCTTCGATTTCAAATCGAGTGGCCGGTGGCTCACGCCAGCCGGGCCGATGAATCGATTTTCTGCCGAGTCCGCTTGATCGGCATCTGCCGATGCTTGCATTTCCGCGTACGCGTTCCCCTCGCCGAACAAGAAAGAGAGAAAGAGAGAGGAAGCGAAAAGCGCGTGAAGCGCGACACCACGGAAAGGGAGAGGAGCAACAGTATATATATATATATATACCGCGTCAACGGAATTTTTCCTTTTCTTTTCTTGCTTCTTTCTTTTTTTTTGTTCTTTTCTTTTTCTTTTCTTTTCTTTTCTTTTTTTTTTTTCGCCACTCGACGATATTTCGAAACGCATCTACGTGCGTCACGAGTTGCCGTCGAAAGGTCAAGTTTAATCACGTGGTCATCATCTTCGATCGATATATCCGTTATCGATTCGTCCCTGTCAGGTGTCGACTGTCCGACGTGGAAATCATTCCATTTCCATCCGTGGAAATTTCCAGAGGGATTATATTCGAACGAAATATTATTTTTTAACTTGTTATCAAAGAGAAATTCCTCGAATTTAAATCCGTTTACGTTGTAAAAAAAAAAAGGCTTCCCCATTTAATTTTACAGCCCTGGCATTTTGCAACTGGTCGGATGTGCAGAAAGCCCGAAGGGAGATGCTTCGCGCGCACACCTTTCCCCGCGCCTTCTCCACGCGTTTCAACGAGCTGAACGGTATAATTGGCGATGAGATGGAGTTTATGGTGAACCATCTGGACTCCTTGTCGGGCACGAGCGTCCACGCGAAACCGTTGATCCTCCATTGCTGCGCCAACATCTTCATCACCTATCTTTGCTCGAAGAACTTTCATCTGGAGCACGACGGTTTCCGAAACATGGTCGAGAACTTCGACAAGGTGTTCTTCGAGGTGAATCAGGGATACGCGGCCGACTTCCTGCCTTTCCTTATGCCTCTTCACCACAGGAACATGGCAAGAATGGCGCACTGGAGCCACGAGATCCGAAGATTCGTCATAAAGAACATCATTGCGGACAGATTGAACAGTTGGAACGACGTCGTGCCCGAGAAGGATTACGTGGATTGTCTGATCAATCACGTGAAGAGCGGGACGGAGCCCCAAATGTCCTGGAACACGGCTCTCTTCGTCATGGAGGACATCATCGGTGGCCACACGGCTATTGGAAATCTCTTGGTCAAAGTTTTAGGCTTCCTCGCAACGAGACCTGAGATTCAGAGATTGGCGCAGCACGAGATAGATGCTCTCGGCCTAGCGGGCAACTTCGTAGGATTGGAGAACAGGAGATCCTTGCCTTACGTCGAGGCCATCATCCTGGAAACTATCAGGATAATCGCCAGCCCCATTGTCCCTCACGTTGCTAACCAAGATAGTTCTATCGCCGGTAAGTGGTAACAATATTTCTCTATTTTTTTATTTCATCACGTTTCCTTTGATTTACAACCAGTTTAAGAAAAAAAAGGAAGAAATTTATCGATATCCATCTTCTTATTCCTCAGGTTTCAGAATCAAGAAGGACACGTTCATCTTCCTGAACAATTACGATCTGAACATGTCCACCGATCTGTGGACCAGCCCAGAGGAATTCATACCGGACAGATTCGTGCAGAACGGAAGATTGTTAAAGCCTGAACACTTTCTGCCTTTCGGCGGTGGTCGTAGATCCTGCATGGGCTACAAATTGGTCCAATACGTGAGTTTCGCAATCTTGGCAAGCATTCTGAAGAACTTCACGATAGCGCCCGTGCAAAAGGAGGATTACACGATTCCTATTGGAAACCTGGCTCTCCCCGAGATGACGTACAAATTTCGATTCGAGCGGCGGTAGGGCTTGAACTGGGGCGTGAACAACGTTGTAAGTCCTGGAGAAAATAGGGGCTGACCCACGAGGGATTTCAAGGGTTGCTTCGACGAAGCTTCGAAGAGAAAGAGAAAGAGAGAGAGACAGAGAGAGAGACAGAGAGAGAGAGAGAGAGAAGGAGAGAGGGAAGGAACTCGAACGATACAAGGCAACTGATACAAGGATGGATCGTTGGATGAACGAACGATTCTTGAGAGGACATCCAGGGAAGGAGATTCAGAAGCGAAGAGAGATCAGCTGAAGAGAGGCTTCTGATTTGTTTTCTTCTTCTTCTTCTTCTTCTTCTTCTTCTTCTTCTTCTTCTTTTTTTTAGACAAAGCTTTATAAGAAGGTCGAACAACGTTAATGATAATAAGGGTGAAAAAACGAGGATTCGACCTTCGTCAGCAACGAGAGCTTTACTGACATTACTAGATGGTTAAGATAGTAAAATTGTTGATCGTCCGCCGACGAGTGGAACACTCCGCCGCCCCTCCTTTTTTTTTTTTTTCCTGAAAAAACGGTTCGTAGACGATCATCCGCGATATCAGGAGAGAAAACTTGGACTGAAAAGAAGAGAATTCCGCGTTGACGGGATGCTGCTGCGAGAGAAACATTGTCCTTGTCGGAGAGAGCAGCTTAGGTAAATCGTAATCTTACGAGTAATTAATTCATCATCTTCTTGTTGTTTCTTTCTTATTAGAATCATCGTGCTTACGCGTAGTTTCCTTAATGGAAATGGAAAAATGAAAAAAAAAGAAAAAAAAAAAAAGAAAAAATGGAAAGACGAAATCTTTTAATGGCAGGATTACACGATCAATCGTGTTATCGGATACCGATTGCAAATATCCTGAGATTGTTTTCTCTCGTAATCGATGATCCTTTGATCGAACGATATCGATTTCGTTATTTTTTTCTTTTTTCAGTAGTTTCTCTTCTTCTTTCCTCCTCTTTCTTTTTTTTTTTTTTTTTTTTGTCTAAATTTTTCTCACGCTAAATCACGAGCCTTATCGATCGATTTCGAGGGAACACGATAAATCGGCCGATGATTCACCTGGATCAAAAATCAGCCGAGATTCGCGGAATTCGTCGCCTGTTTGATCGAACGATCACGTACACACGATCTGTCGTCTGATAACCTCGCTCGTTCGAAAGACGAGACCCGAGAACGTGAGCGGTAAGCCGAAGACGAGATGATTAGGAGAGAACGAAACGTCTCGCGGCCCCCCAAAAAGGGTGAAATTCCCCAACTCGATCCGATATTCACATATATATATATATGATTTTTTCGCGATATAATATACACCGAATACTCGACCAATATCCGCATCGACGTTGATCCAATATTTGATCCACATGTGAATTTCTACGCGGTTTTGGAGTTGTAAATACCAGTCGAATACCAGTTATTTGAATGAATGCACAGTTTCAGAACCGTTGTGAGATCAGCTTCATTTCTGTTTTGTTCAACTTTTTTTCGGTGTTTTTTTTTATATAGAGATCCGATATATTTTTTATTTAGAGCGAATACCAAAGTGATGAAATGAAATTATTATTACGTTAAGCTGTATTTATTAGTTGCAACTAGTCACGGTTCTAGTCTTTTCTTTTTTTTTTTTTTTTTTCTTCCAAACGATCGTGGCTTAATCATGGACCAACTATGAATATTTTGAGTTTCCAATGTTGGAGCAACGTTCGAACGAGATATATAGCATTCGATCAGTTCGTTTCTTTTTTTTTTTTTTCTTTCTTTTATTCTTTCTTTCTTTCTTTCTTTCTTCCTTTCTTTCTTTTCAAAATGAGAACTGAAGCGTATAACATGTTAAATTTGTTTAATTTTCCTTCTTCTTTCTATTCTCATCTTTTCTTCTTTTCTGATTCCATCCTTATATACCTTCTCGTTCTTTTCTTATCCTTTAGTAAAGCAAATAGATCCATCATCCACCTTCTTTCGAAATTACGAGACGAGAAATATATATTTGAAATATTGTAACGTGATGCAAGTGGTTGCTCGTAAGGGGTGGATAAAATAATAGAGTACGAACGAGTTGTCTCAAGTAAGACAAGAAATTATATCGATTATAAAAAAAAAGGACTGATTAAATGATTTTTCTTAAAAAAGAAAAATCGTTCTCCCGCGAGCCACACTCGCGTTATGTATAATTTATTTCTGCTATTAAGCATCAATTCTTATTATTATTATTATTACTATTACTATTACTATTACTATTATTATTACTATTATTATTATTATTATTATTATTATTATTATTATTATTATTATTGTTATTATTATTATTATTATATAATTTTTTTCGCGCTTGCTACTATTATCATCACTATTATTAGTAATTAGAGTTTTCATCTCGTGCCCCCTTTTTTTCGTCATCACAAATCTCAATCATCCCACATTTCGCGCTTCCACGTTCGTTCCACGTACGTTATTTTATGTTTTGTTATTTAATTATCGTGATTGTTACGACATTTGTTAATTTATTATTTAAGATTTTAATAATAAAAAGCGACAAATAAGATTATTCTTTCTTTGTCATTTCTTTTTGAATCATTTTTATTTTATTTTATTTTTTTTTCTGTCTTGAAAAATTCACTCAATATAAAAATATAATATATATAATATATATAATATATATATATGTCGTGCATCAATCGAAAAATAATGACCGTAACAAACAGCCTTGACATTTCTTATCGTTCATTTGCGTCGTTATCACGTACAATTTATTTATACAGTTCCATTTAGAAACTGTACCAAGTAACAATATGATAACAACGTTGCGATTGCAACACTTTGGAATAGGTTCAAACTATATAATATAAAACAAAAGGATTAAAATGCGTAATAAATTGTAATTATTCTCAAATGAGATTAATGAGATTAATGTTCCTCCTAGATTATTTATATTTGAATATAGAAGTGATGTTACACATTATAATCGTGAATTATCGACGGTATAAAAATATTCGATGTAACATTATCATCATCATCGAAAGAATTTCTTAAATTGAAATGAAAAATGAACACATAGTGGTAGATACATTGTAACGTATTTAACGTAATATTATAGTTAAATTTTCATGGAATGATTTAATTAAGGAACGATTGGAAAAAATTTCGCAATCGAATTCTTTACTAAATTCTAAAAAAAAAAGATTGTTAAAAGCTTAAAAAAAATTAGAATTATTTCCTTTGCATTGATATCTTCTATCTCGAAAAGAACGACGAAACTCTACGTCTCTTCGGATACAGAATTTTTGAGATCTATCATTTTTTCTTTCTCTTCTCCCCAATTAACAATTTCCTCCTCCCCCTTCCTCTTTTTCTTTTTCTTCTTCTTCTTCGAAAACATGTCCTCGATTTCTCTTAACGTCTTCCCCTTCGTCTCAGGCAGGAAAAAAATAACGAACAACGTTCCCAACAACGACATCACGGTGAAAAATATAAACACACCTTGTCTACCCATATTAACCTCCATGTCCGGATAAATTTTCACCGTGATCGAGCTAAAAATATAATTGATACACGAAGACAGTCCCGTCAACACTTCCTTCACCTTCGTAGGATACACCTCGCCCACCATGGCGAATGGGATAACCAAGAAGCCAAGCGTACTGCCAAAAATATACATAAGTACGCATATCGCTGGAATCAACCCGTTGTCGTTCACGCGATATCCCCTATCCTTGATCCATAAATAGACGGACAAAATCCCCATGAAAATGGTCATCGAGCATCCGGAAACGATGGACGGTTTCCTTCTACCGAATTTTCTCGACGCGCACGCCACCAACACGCTACCGAACAACCTGGTCAATCCTATCAACACCGCTCCCAAATTCGGATCTATGGCGATACCAGCGCTCTCTACTATATTCACGGCGTAATAGACAACGACGAAAATTCCAGAGAATTGTTGGAAGAAGAAGTAGCCGAGCATAATAGCGAATGGTAGAACGGCGTTCCTCTTCAGCAAATGTTTCGCGAAGTTTTGATTCGCTCGCTGGGGACGAGGCCTCAACTCTTGGTGTAATTGTTGCGGGGGCGGCGCATCGTTGGGGACACCGCGGAATTTCTTCAACACCTGTAACGCCTCGTCTAGACGACCTCTGTCTCGCAACCAGATCGGGGTTTCTGGGACGATGGCCAAGGTCAGTGCGGCCGAGACCAGGGGAAACAGGGCGCACAGCAGTGCCACCGTACGCCAGTTGTCCTTTGGAAAAGAAAGATCCGTGAATCGAATAACTTTCCGCTTCCTGACTTTTCAATTTATCAAATTGATCGTTGTAATTCTTCGATATAATGTACATATATTTTACAAAATTATCTTTTACGAAATTAGTGAAATGAAAGAGATTTGTTCGAAAGAGATACGTGTATATATTTACCTTCAACGCGTAGCCAAAAATGTAAACGATCAAAACGCCAATAGCGATGGTTACGCTGGTCCACGTGACCATGGTCGATCGCCATTTTGGAGAAGCAATCTCCGCGCTATAAACGGTGGCTGGGACCGAGGCCATTCCGGTCGCGATTCCGGAAATAATTCTGCCCACAAGAATCTGCTCGTACGTTCCAGCGAGATAAATGAATAGCCATCCAACGATGGACACGATCGACGTTATCAACAGGCTCAACTTTCTTCCCCGCCTCATAGTGTAACTAGAGACAATGCAACCGAGTGGGATGCCCAGTGCTGTAGCTGTGGCTGTGGATTTCCAACGATTATATTTTTTAATTTCAAACGCGTTGAATTAAATTTATTCTAAGAAAATTTACGGTATATAAATTCTTTTTCTTTTAATTCTCATCTTGTTAAATATCATCTTGTTAAGGGTTAATATCAATCGAGATCAAGAAAAAATAAAAATGATACCAACCAATCCAATTTGCTTGAACTTTGTCGATTTTCACGTCGCTACTAGGTGCCATCATCGGTTCCAATGCCACTGCGCTGTAACCAAAAGCCATGGATGGACCCAGAATCGAAGAATTCGCGCAGAGAACCATCATTATCTGCAAAGGAATATTTTTGGAATATATATTGCAAAGATTTTAATTACAAGTTAAAGTAATTCAAAAAAAAAAAAAAAGAATAAACGTTTGATGCAAGGAGTTAATCTTCTGATTTCAACAAAGTTATCCTATTATAACGTTCTTGTTACATAAATCTTTTGCATTTGATTCGTGATGGAAAAATCCGTTTCCCATTCCATTCGTAATCGCCGATATTATAAATTTTAATACTCGATTAATTGCATAATTATTTTATATATCATGTTATAAAAGAATTTATTTATATACTTTTAATTGTTAATCTAGCGATAATCGATGAACGATGACATCATTAAATATCATGATTATCAATTCAAATGATTATCATGTTAATCGTCTGACGGGCTGTTTCTTCGAGTAATGCTGATTAGAAGAATTAATGAATAGCGAATTCTGATAGATAATTCTGGCGATAAAAAAAGTGAAGTTGATTTAAGTTTTTTATTTTTTCTATTTTTTTTATTTTTTTTTTTTTTTTTTTGATAAAATTTTCTATCGACAAAATAAACACTTTCATTTTTACTTCAAAATCAAATTAACATTTTCTTGAATTCTAGAATCGATAATTCTTGATCGATCGATCGATCGATAAAATCGATTCGTTAGAATTTCAAAAATTATCTTACGTAAAAAAAAAAAAAAAAAACTTATGAAAGATCGAAAAAATAGATCTATCGTTCTAACATTATATTCTCCCGCGATTTTGAATGCGATTGTAGAACGGATAAAATATAAAAGAGCGCATAACGAGTGTGTCGAGAAGCAAAGTTGAATAAATGCCAGTCAATCGAGGGTATATTTTTTTTCCCAAACAACCCTACTATCGACGAGACTGCTCTTATATGACCAATATCGAAACCGGTTTGGGATGAAGGTTCAAAGAGAAGACGAGCAAGACATCCGGAGGAATAATTAAATCAAGCCTTGAAATGTCACCAACAAGTTTACGTAAAGCAGCGTTAAACGATAATATTTCGAGTTACGCAAAACTCTCTCTCTAATATATACTATATATATATATATATCTTTGTATGCTAAGTTATTTTATATCTGAACTAGTCTGCGTTTAGCATATTTATGTAATTGTAACTAACTTTACATTCTTGCAATTGCATACATTTAAATAATTATGATTATTTATATTATTCGTAGTTGAAATTATATTTATAATATTTAGTTTTATTTCGTTTTTAATATCAATATCAAATATTTATTAAGCAATTTTTCAAAAATTAAAAAGAAAAAATATTATTGCAATATGATAATTAAATATAATAATTATATTTTACTTATCTGTTTTACGAAACGAATAATTTAATACACACAATTTCGATTGAGGAAAGCGAATCTATTTTTAACAAATAGAAAGCAAAAAATTTTACCAACTTGATATTTGCGATAGATATCAAATATCTTATTCGTCGTATATATCTTTAATTCGTTGCGCAAATAACAAGTCGGTGTTTGGAATTTTTTGCATAGGATAGATTTCTTGATTTTCTATTTCTTTCAATATTTCCCTTCTCTTCGCGAATATTCGTAATTCTACAAAGGAATTCCTGAAAAACATGTTTTCGCATCTGACAATGTTAAAGAACAGCGATTTGTATTTTTTTTTTTTTTTTTTTTTTTTTTTTTTTTTTTTTTTTTTTTTTTTTAATTTCTTCAGCCACAACATTTCTGTTTCGATTACTTCGAAGAGCAAAGATCTAGAAAAAGTCTCGAGCATTTATGCTATAACATCCCAAAATGTAAATCAGTCACATGTCAAAACACCAATTGAGAAAATATTTATAACTTATTAATAAATTTTTATTAAATCAATAATACATTGAATCTTTCAATTACAATGAATGATATAATAAATAGTATAATAGTAAACTCGATGAATATTATTGCGGTATAAATATATCAATTGTAAATAATTGAACTCGATACGATCTTATTAATTTTTTAGGGGGACGACGATGGACCAATTACATTACTTATTCACCGCTTTAATTCGCAAATGATTACTATTAAGTAAGAACAAATACTCGTAAATTTTCCAAGACTTTTTAATTCGACTCTGTATACAGATAAGAAATATATAGCTCGATATCATTAAACAAATGACGTTTTATCTCGTTTGTTTAAAAATAATATTTTACAGTTTTCATTATTTCAATTTAATTCCAAAATCGTTACTCGTGTGTGTATTCAATTGGAAAATGAATTCTGAATCTTGTTTATTGTATATCGTTTAAACATTTGATTAAATTAATTGCAATGAAACATACTATGATTGGCAAAACAAGTTACGTCGTAATAATAACAGTAACGCATGATTTTTTTCTGAAGTGAAATTGATATAAACGTTTGTCGAAAAAAAAAAAAAATTATTTAGAATAATTTTCTTGTTATCATAATCGTCATAATTATTTTCTATTTATGCTCGCTTTTATCTTTAACAAAAATAAAGTATAGCAAAAAAAAAAAAAAAATTATTTAGAATAATTCTCTTATTATCATAATCGTCGTAATTATTTTATTTTTATGCTCGCTTTTATGTTTAGCAAAAATAAAGTTTCGATCTAGTTTACAGATAAATAATTTCGTTTTTCGATACTTTTTTTCGATACGAAACATTTTTAAATATTAAGATCTTTAGAAATTTATGTTTCGTTTTAATTGTATTCGACAATAGCAAATTTTTCTTCATCTTTTTTATTTTTCTTCCATATTTTAGTTTACATTATAATTGTTCAAAGTCATTACCGTGTTAACACGAAGCCATTTATTACGTAAGATTTCTTTGTGCAAAATAATATTTACAATTCTGATTCAGACATCATCGCTTATTTAGAATTCATATAGTCGATGAAAAAATAACATTGATTCGCTTCTTTAAATTGTTTGTTTAGAAACTTTATCCAAAGAAAAAGAAGAAAAGAAAAAAACTTCTACCTGATACGTGACGCCTTTCTTCTCTCTTCTCTTTTCCTCCTCCGCATTCACCTCGACCTAAAAGGAAATTTATTATTCAGAATATATTGCATTCTTTTGCGTGTTATTTCTATTCGATATCAAAGATTTATGTAAGTAATACATTCTAAGCCACAAGTCTTGGTTTCTTATTTGCTTTTTTCATTTTTTTTTTTTTTCTTTCTTTTTAGCGTTTGAAAGTGATAACATGTACATGAATTACGTAATGGAATAAGTCTCGTTTCTTGATAAGCATTTCATATCAAAATAGCTATAAGTAGAAGATTAAATTCATTAATTAATTTAATTAATTAATTATTTTACTCGAACGATCAGTAAATCAATATCTTTTCAATATAAATTTATAAGTACTCGTTACTCGATATATTTCCTCTCAAAAACTTTAAATATACTTTCGATTGTTTAAAAAATTGGCACCTTCGAATCGAACGGTGCGAAATTATTAACATCGATATGTGAAAATTTATCTAAATCCGATTAAGAAAAACGGAAAAGCAAAATTGTACAAAGATATTTTTCAGATAATAAATCACCTTATCCAAATATTCCTCCACGTGTCTATTTATTCCGTTTGCGACGCTCATTTTCATCTTCTTTTGATATTTTCTCTTCTTTTTTTTCACGATCGATTTTTACGATTTTCTTCCTATTCGATCCTTCGATTCACCATTCTTCTGCAAACAGAAATTTTCGTTTAAAATTACTTTGAATATTATTCTTTCCGTTTCGAAAACTTGTCAATCACTCGATGATCGTACAATTAACATGATGCAAGATCAACGAATGAAAGTAAATGAACTCGTTCAGATTAAGATCAAATGATTACTCGAAAGAAAAATGGCAACAACTCGACTCGACGATAATTTTTATGGCTGTGTGTACATACGATCCTCGTACGATGATCTCACAAACAGCTCTACTCGATTATTCACAACCAACTATACCATTTCTCAATCATAACGTTCTTTTAAACAGTTCACACACGCGACATATATATTCTTACCATATACATATATATTCTTACCATGTGTAGCCAATTTTCTATACGGTTCCAAGCGGTTCAAGATCTTCGAACACGTTCTTGAAATCCATGCTCTATAAAATATTTAATTAGTATAATAATCCATGCTTATCGCATCTTATGATCTAGAGATGTCAAGAGATTAAACGCGAACGATTAGATATAAATTCGCGTGAAGATATGATACATAATTAATTAATTAATAATCGTGATATATGAGCGTTTAAAGCTTATTAAATGGAGTATATATTTTCGCGATTTTTTTTTTCTTTTTTCAGCAAACAATTCGAGGACGACAAGAATAAAAATTTTTCTTTCGACAAAAAATTAAAAGATTGAAGTTTATTTACCTCGAGAAAATTCTTGGAAGGAGTAACTTTTCTTCACGAGTTACAAAGCATCTAATGGTTCGTAATCATCGTCAAATTCTTCGAACATATAATCCCCCAACGTGTATATTTCCCACATTCCCAAGAAGAATGTCATCAACCAGAAATCACTTAGATAAACCAACAAGACCTTTTTCCACAGCACGCTGTTCTCCTGGCTCCAATTGAAGAAATTTTTATTTCCCAATTCCACTTCGCACAGATTCATCTCTCAAAACTCAGACGAATGAACGAGAATTAAGCAAGTTTAACGCGATCAATAATGATCCTCCATTCCAACTTCGATCGACTTCTATATAAAAATAATCACACGAAATTCCTTTTTTATCCTCTTTGTTCCTCCAACCGATCATTCCAGATCGACTAGAATAATACAATTACAAAATCGTCTCTCCCCAACTCACTTTCCTCTCTATCGAACTTCGCAACTTCCAACTCCTTTTCTTCTCGATTCAAGTCATCAATCTATCTCTTTCACCTCGGCCATGTCTCCTTGTGATTTTTCCAACGCCCTCCTACTTCTATGAACTACAAGCTCCGCGACCCAATCTTTTCCTTCCTTCTTCCCTCCTCTCGACCGGGATATTGCCTCAACCTCCGTGCGATCTTCGCCTCGCTTTCGTCTATCCAATTCTTCTCCTTTCTCTCTCTCTCTCTCTCTCTCTCTCTCTCTCTCTCTCTCTCTCTCTCCCTCTCTCTCTCCCTCTCTCTCTCTCTCTCTCTCCTCTCGTCGGGCGAAGGAAGGAAAGCCGAAGGAAAGGCGTGAAATGGTGAAACGGTGTGGTACAACAGTGTGGCCGTTGTTGCAGCCGAGAGGACAGCCACGCGGAGACTCGTTATTCACCGAGTGCAAGTCCGGTTTTATCTGGTGACTGTGTGTACACCGGCCGAGACGCGGTCTTCCTTCGTTCCAGATCGGCACGAATGGACCCACCATTCACGTCCGTGGCTGAGCGGCCCGCTCGTGTATCGCCTCGTCGTGTCGGCACGCGAACGTCCAGAAACCGCGTGTATATATATATATAAGGGACCTGCGAATTCCCACGGATAAAAAAGAAGCGATTGCGCAAGGTGATTTCATCGGGCGGGCAGAGCGTATCGCGTGCAATCGGGCGGGCGTCACTCGATGACGCGGTAACAGGAGTCGGAGCAGCTGTGGGTGCCCGCCACTCGCCGCCGCTCCCTTCTTCTTTCTCTCCTTTCTCGCCGATTCCTCTCGTCGACTCAATTCTTCCGACACTCTCTCGAGGACCTTTTATTCTCTTCTTATGTATTTTCGACGATGACGATCTCGAGGAAGAAGATCTCTCTCCGTTTCGTCGCTTTCCCCTCCCCCGAGTTTTCGCTTCATTTTTATAATTCGTTGTTTAATTTTTCTATTTTCGTTTTAATTTTTAATTTTTCTTTTCTTACTCGTTCATTCGACGAGAAATGGAAATTCAGAGATGAATGTTTGTAATTTATGTCGTCGAGTTATGTTGGGTACAAAAATTCTTTCAATTATTTGTCTTATGTTTTAAATGTAGTCACATTGGTTTTTTTTTTTTTTATTATATATATATATATAATTTTTATTATATTTTATTAATAGGATCACGTTAATCATCATCCTGGTTAATTCGCGAAAAATGTTAAAAATTGTTATTATTAACAACGAGTTTCGAAATTCTTCTTTTTTTCTTTCTTAGCTTATGATGACTTTTATATTTTTTTTTTTTTTTTTTTCAATAGGTTTACGTGAATAAATAGATCAAGTAGAATTTGAATAGACGTTTTTTTGAATAAATAAACTTCGATGAAACAAAGTTAACCACTGATTTTAATATCAGAATTTTCCATCGTACATACGTAATGTATACATATGTCGCACGTATATAAGTTTTGTGAGTCTAAGTTGAGAAAGACAAAGGTATACGGGGGAAAAGATTTTTCAAAGTCATCGAAGCGGAAACGGATGATGGGACGTCAACAATAATTATTGCATTTAATCGGACAGCCTTGGGAATGGATGCCATAGGTCAAACCGATTATTGTCTTAGTGGCTTTTCGTGGATCGGAGACGTGGTTACTCGGTACGATTAAAAGCGGATTAAAATCTATCTATTCTTCGCGTTGAACGCATTTTGTGCATATTTCTTTTCTCGGTCAAGTTGCATCTGTGCGATAGGATTAATTATCCACGACACGACACGACACGAAAACTTCCTATCCGATTCGTGGAGGAAATTTAGTTTCATTAAACCCTGAAGATTAATTGATGATAAAAAAATTGTATGAAATGTATCGGATTTCATATAGAAACGGAGAAAAATAGCGCGACTCAATTGAAATTAATTGCGTCGGTAAACAAGCGGTCTTCCCGTTCAGAGCCATAAATTGGATAATTTTCTTTGCGCGAGTTGAAACCGTGATGCATCGTGTCGCTCGATTTCGCGCTTTCGTTTTAGAAAAATTTTCAAAAATTCCCCCGAAATCATCTCTTCCCCCGAGTATTTCACCGAGCAACAAATTCTCCAAGGAAAAATTGTAAACCGCGTTTCTTTCTTTCTTCTACAATTCTACGAAGCTACGCTCGCACGTTTTCGCTTTATCGATCGATCAAATCGATTTCAATCGATTTTTCGCCCGTTCCCTCGAGCAAAGATGGGGATAAAAAAATGGTTACCTAACGCTCTCCTCCTCGTCCGTAAGTTCTCCGATTCCGTAACGGAGCGAAAGTAAAGCCGAGGCTTACGTTCGCTATGACGGCCGAGCAATTATCGTTCCACCTGTGCGGTTGGATTTCATCTCCCGAAACACGTTCTCGTTTCAAGGCCAAGGACACAAGGCAAGTAGTAGAGGGAGGTCAGTGTTCGCCAGTGTCGATCTTCCTCCGCGTCAGCATGCTCCGCTTTTGACAGGAAATCGAAAAATAAGACGCTCGGTTTCTAAAACGCTTTGCCGCATCCGCGAATATTATCCCGTGTTTCGCACGTGGTTCGCAGAGAGAAAATTTCGTCCTAGGTTTTTTTCATTCTATGACATCGCGATATTCGTTCCTTCCTCGATTACGTGTAAGAATTTTCGATAAGATATGGAGGAGAGAGGGAGGACAAGAGTGTTTCTTTCATCATCCATACGATGAAATTATTGAAAATTATTTTTAACAATAAACAATTTTGTTTAACTTGGATGGAAAAGTTGCTAATTTTATTAGGAATAGATGGGAGGGAAAAATTATCTAGTTTCAGAGAGAAAGAAGAATAAAGGAAATAATAAGGGAAAAGGAATTTCTTTTTTATTACTAATCGATTGAAAAATTATTCTTGAATCTTTGAAAAATAGGGACAGAAATATTGTTGTTGACGTGTGAGAATTCTTGTTTCGATTTAATGCGTGAACACGATCGAGAGATTTCAATTTCATTTTCTTCTATTTCTTTTTTTGTAGACGGAAAACAAAGAGGAATGGTAACAGTACACCTGTGCCCTTGATATTTTTTGCACGCATCGTGTTTTATCGATCTAAGTATAAGTGTTCGTAATCAAATAGTACTTTGAAACTTTGAACGTGCAAATCATTCGCCATGTGTTTCTTTTAGTGTAACTCGCAATTAAAAATTCGATTGATAGTTCAATAATCTTTAATAAATTTTACTCTAAAATTTTCTTTAAAATTTATCTTTTGAAATTTGACTGAGATATTAAAAACTTTCCTATTAATTTTATATTAATTTTAAATAATTCAATATTTTAGAATGCGAAGAAAATTTGATGAATAAAAAATACCATAGTGAAAATTATATATTGCAAATTTTTTGTTTTAAAAAATCTTTATAAAAATTGTAAAAGAATGTTAACAAATTTATTTTTTCATAAAATAAAATGATCTTCCTATCATTTCATAATAAATTTCTTATAACAAATATCTTCAACAAATGATTTATGCACATTTTTAATATCTGATTTATATTTAATATTAAATAAAATAAAATTATTAAATAAAATAAAATGGATTATGCATTAATTTTTTCTCCTTCTATCAAAAATGAAAAATGAAAGCACTATTTCGAAAATAATAAAAATCTAATAAATTGTGAAAATTTTAATTAATATTTTTTAATATAATTTAATTAATATTTATGTATAAATTAATTATTCTCCAATAGAATAAACAACAAGATTCTTGAGAATCGATTCGTGATAGACAAGAATAGCGGACAGAAAGATAAAAATACAGATAGAATAAAAATTTAGAAATTAGCGCCATCTCTAGAGTGCTGTAAATGAAACAGATATAGACGAAGAAAGTAAATGTGAAAGAAAGATGGAGATAGAATAAGAATTGACTACTAGCGCTATCTCCTGCATTTAAAAAAAAACATTTTTTTCATCATTTTACTTAATACTATTAATTATGGACTAATACATATTAATTATGGAATTTGATATATTTGTTTTATTCTGGAAAATTAAATTTATATATAAAATATATAATTATATAAATATATAAAAATATATGATTCCCGATGTATATAAAATTGACATAAAAAAAATTAATTTATTATATAACACATATATTCAAAAAAATATATTCTCCTATTACATATGTAAATATATAGAATATATATACTTATGATATAATTTAATAAAATTAATTAAATCTTGCCAACATTTCTTGAGCACATGAATTTATAAATTAAATATAAATAAGAAAAGCAAATAAATATAAATAAGAAAAGCAAGTAGAAGAAGAATAAAGATAAATGAAAAATTATAGTATGCTTTGCGCCATCTCCAGAGTAACATAGACAAAAACTATAAGAAATAATTTGATAGTAAACGCCATCTCTTGATTGATAAAAATATTCTTTAGATAAGACGAACTAAGATAAGAATTGAAAGCTAGTGCTTTTAGAAAGATTTTTTAGACATTCAAAATAGCACTAACAATTTTTATCCTATGTTACTTTATTTACGAAGAAATGTATCTTTCACTCATGAGATGGCGCTAATGATCAATTCTTACTTTCTTCTACTATTTCTTTGTTATGTTTCATTTGCAAAATAAAATTAATTATTCTATCATGTATATTATATCATGTATATTATATTATGTATATTAAATTTAGAAATGGCATTAATTCCCAAATTTTTATTTCAATTCTCATTTTACTATTATCTAGCTTATCACAAAAATGCTCTCAAAAACTTTTTGTTCATTCTTGGAGAAAAATTAATTTATACTATATTCTTGGAGAAAAAATAATTTATAAATATTAATTAAATTACACAAAAAATATTAATTAATTATAGAAACTTTTGCAATTTATTTCTTCAAAATAATTTCTTTGATAAAAGAAAAAATGATTGAAATATTAACATAATATAAAAATATAAAATATTACACTAATTATTAATACAATGTAAAATGATAAATTTATAATTTTATTTTATTTAAATGTTAGATATTAAAGATATACGAATCGTTTGAGATTTTAGATATAGAATGAAAAAATCAAATAGCTTTATTTAATGATACTTCAGATTATAAAAATTGAACGTATTAGTAAACTTTCAAATTTATATATTTTTTTATTTCTTATATTTTGTCAATTTATTTTATATTCCGATTAAATATCAATAACTTTTTTTCATTTTAGTAAGATTAACACAAAAAATGGTGATATTTTTAATATATTTGTTAGCATTAAAGATGTCACTACTTTCTCTGTTCTTTCTAGTATTTTCTTGTGTTTTGTATTAACACTGGTACATATCGATTGTTAATTCTGACATGCTGAAAAAAATATTAAATAAGTATATAAGATTTTCTATTTTGCTTGTATAATACGTATATATAAATATTTTTTTAAATAATTAAAAGTAAAATATGGCAGATGATGATTTTGATGGAGATGAGTAAGTAATATGTATATTTATTAGACATGACATGTATATTTATTAGCAAATATTCTTTTTTTGTTATATATTTATCTATTTATTTTATATTTTAATAATATAAATATTTTTCAAATAAAATAAAATATTTATTTAAAAAATTAATGTTATTGAATCAGCTTATTTTAATAACATTAAATATATAACAAAAAATGATATATTTAGTAGAATATAAAATTAATTTATTTTTTATATGATAATATATATGGTAATATCGAAATTATTAAATTTTATT